CTTAAAACCAAAAAAAAGTAATTTTCTGTTTTGTTTTATTCTTGGATCCGCCTATAAAGGGTTAGAGTTTGAAACAACAAACCCTGAAAACAACATTCTGCCTCACCTGTTTGACCATCTCGTCTCTGTCCCGGGGGCGGAAGCTGCGCGGTTCTCCGTTAGGGTCCAAAATGTAGGAGCACCTGAACAGAAACAGTCATTTTTATAGTCCTTTTTATCCAAACCTCCCCACCCAGCCTGGACTCAGACTCATGACCATTTCCAGCTCCATCACTCACTTCTTCAGCAGGATCTCGGAGGCTCCTTTGCTGTAGAGGCGGAAGCTTCCATCGGGGAGTTTTATCACCGTACTCATGGATTTACGCACCGAGTTGAAGGTGTACACCTGAGGCAGAAGGAGGGGAAAAGCACACGGTGAAGGCTTTTTTTTTATTTGACTGTATCTGTGCTTTAGTGTACTGAGGTGTTTTTTTTTATATCACTGTTACGTCCCCTGTAGGGGGCGTGGCACTGGGCCTTTTTTTCCCTCTTCCCGCAATCGCTTTCCAAATGTATTCTTTTTGTTCTGAAGAAAAATTGGTGCGCCCGTTTTGTTTGTTTGATCTTGGTACGGGCTGTACTGGAAGTCAATTTTTCCCTGGAGATCAATAAAGTATATTCAATTCTATCAATTCAATTTTAAAAGGAGAGTCTTCCGCCGTCTTTAATCCACCGCACAAGCACAACGTTTCATTAAGAAATACTTAACACTTTTAAAAAAAATTTTAAATGTAATTATACTTATTTGGTCCTGTTTTTGTTATGTTAATACAGGGATTTATGTTCGCTACGGGGAAAGGGAAGGGAAGAGGGAAAGAAAGGGGGAAAGGGGAGAAGAAAGAGGGAAGGAAGAGGGAAGGGAAAAAAAAAACTGTGTAAAAAAGAAAACAAAAAATCGGAGAAGTGTAACATCAATATATGTATGATCTCCTGATGAGCAAATAAATGATACCCAGTAATACAAAAAAAAAGAAAAAAAAAAAGAAATACTTAACACAATTACAAAGAGAGGGAGCTTGGAGACGCACTCCTATCAGCGTTTAATACCTCAACACAACAGAAAGGAGGCCAAATACATCCACTAATTAGGTAAACAACACGCCGACTCGTCAATATTATCTAAAAAATCAAAGGCATGAACAGGTTTTTAGGATAAAATTATGCTTGAAGCAGCAGGAAAATATTTAATTTTACTCTGGGGGAGTTTAAATTGGAGCAACGTCCAATATTTGATTTTGAATTATATAAAAAGAAGCAATAATTGTGAGTTTGATGCAGATTTCTCAATGCAAATCAGCAAAGAAAATGAAAAACAACATAATTCAGAGGTCTGAAATGGCTTTTAAATGTGTTCAGGTAATGAACACATGCTAAACCAATAATTGACGAAACCAGTTAACATCGTTATTTCTCTAATTTAGACGGCAAAGCAATTATTAACCTAAGAAATTCAATACAATAGCTAAAG